ATGGTAGCATAGTCATAGTCATGCGCAGATAGAGTTGAATTGAATTGCATAGCAATAAATGCATAGTTAGGTTATGATCCTTATATTTCGTTTTACCTTCCGCGAAATACTACCTTTTCTATAGGACGAAGCCATGCTTTTTATAGTAAATTGTCTGATTCTCGGTTAATGCCTTAATTAAGCTGTAGGTAGCATGGTTGGAATTTTCGATGGCCAGCTGACGGCAAGTCTCCCATGTACTTACTTGAAAAATGCTCTTTCATTTTTTCACGAAATATTTGCTTCTTATGGCATCCCGCTAATGACTATGAACTTACAAAATGGAGAAAGTGGACTGCAGAATTTATCGCCCATTTGCCCCATTTATATTACCGAAAGGAACAGTTTGTACTGAAATGCCGTTAGTAGCCATTTACATATGCTTACACCCGAAGAGGTTGAGTTCCCGTTTATTTTGCAAGTATTATCACGCGCAGGTCACTTTCTATTTCATAGGGTACCTCTTCTAAAACCATGAGAGCGCTGGTTTTCTCTTTATGTATTTGGTTTTGAAAACAGTCTTAGTTATTAGCAAAACTTCAAAATAATAGTTGAAAATGAAAATTAAACCTTCACCATCCTGTTCAATAAAATATTTCATAGAGGTGACACATAAGTTATCGAGAATGACTGGCATCGAGAGATGCTCAAAAACATTATCTGTTCGTACTGGTATTCTGGTTGAACCGATTGAAGGCAGTCGTAGAATTGGTTTGGGACTACTATAAGGGACAAATTTACAGGAGGGTTCAACGGATCTAAATAAGACGGGCTGCTGCCGCAGATACCACTTTTAGACAGCCGAATTACCTTAAAGAACAGCCAAATCAGCGGAGTCGTCTGTACCAGAGGGCAAAAGTATATTTTATTATAGACAAAAGATTTCTGCCGTTGCAGTTAATTTATGCCTGTTAATGAATACTCCGGATGATGTTATTTGCTATTACTTGGTTTGACATATGCGACAATCTACGCGAGCCCTAACCTAGCAGGAACCATTTTACATGAAATGCCCGTTTTTCTAAAATTTCGCGTATCCGCGAATATCAATCAGGTATTACAATGACGCTTTTACAAGCACAGTTGATAGAACATGGAATCAGGCGAAACGATAGCATATTTCACTTTAATGTTGCTTTGATGAACTCAAGTTGTAGCTCTTCTACCTCTTTCGGGTCTAGTTTACTGACGATGGCAAACTCGAGGGCCTTGCTTATGGTCCCATTTTTTGTTTAACTCTCCAAAAGCACTTCAATTGAGATTAATTCGAAAGAAGTACATTCCTTGTAAATTTAAATCCATCCACTTCTACTGAATGCACTTTGACTTTCACTTACAAATATAACAGGATAAGCATGAGTAAGAGCGACTGCTTTTAGAAGATGTAAAAATGTGGCAAGTATACCTATTTGCATTTGCGTGCTCTTCTGTGCTTCTATGATATGGTTGGGATTTTGCTATGTTACCGAGAGTTTTATGAAGCTTATAGCACTTAAAACTCCATTGAAACAACAAGAAATAAATTCGATATATATTGGTCCGGATAAGCTATCCAGTTATTCTCTTGTGAATGTTTGTTGCGAGGGTGCTTTATTCGAACTGGTAACGGACGTTTAAATTGAACAACATATAAATTATATTGTTTCTATTCCGGCAAAGATAAGGCACTTTAGTATAGCTATTTCGGGCTGTTGGCCCTCATCAGCTACGGGCAGCCAACTCTAGTGTAGCCGCAGGAATTGCCGCCACACTCGAGTTTCGAACTCGCGTCTTGCCGGTCAGGGGCAGACGTCCTAACCATCGAGTTCGCTGTCTTGCCGGTTGTTGATCGGGAGTATATAGTATTTTTTTGTAAACCGATCTACGGAAACACAATCGGTTGGCCCGAATTCGCAAAACACCAATCCGGGATGGGTACATCCTGAGAAACAGATCGGTGTACAGACAAAAACTATGAATTATAATCTATGTAAAAAATATTCTGTTGACATATTGAAAGAGAAGTGGTAGGTAAAAATAAGGACCTTATCAGAGAAAAAAGAATTTGATTTCATTACAGATGATTTAGTATGTAAGAAATTTGACACCGAATGAAACAATCTCTATTGTTGTTTAGTCCGAACCTGATACAGAAATTGTTCGGACCGAACACCTAGGAAAACGTAGAACGAAAGGCCCAAACAAACCTCTGAACTGCCTAAATTCGCTAATATTATATTTCCATTTTTGGATTGTGTATCCTATCATCAGCCCTTTCAGTAACAAAGTTGTATTAAGGTGCTGAAGTGAAAGTTTTCTCACTTATGTAAAACTATCACAACTTATCATTGATTAAGTTTATTGTGCCATCTGCACATCACTAGAAAAAATTTCTGTAGGTAGGTGGGTTGGCAGTGGTGTTCGCTCCCGGAAAACACGCCCATTAGACACTCTACCTGCTCAGTTGGTCAAGTAGTGATTACTTTATTAACCCTCCTCCCGATGATCTCGGCGACCTTGCGATGACACATTTTAGGAGTTATGAGTCCATAATGGTCGATTTTTTGAACGATCAAAGGAGTCCATCAAGTTGAATTTGTTCCTCATAACACTGCAGTGGACTAAAAGTGCTAGTTGCAAGTGTGGAAGTGATTGCGTGCAGCAGTGAGAAAAAAACGATCAAATTGTGGCGATCGGGGAACTGGCTGCTTCAGCATTACCTCGTGCCTGCACGCAAATCCTCCAAAATCAACCACTTGTTGGCGAAAAAACGGTATGACAACGGGTTCTCACCCTCGCCCTCTTATTCGTCCGACCTAGCTCTCTTTGACTTCTTATTCCCCAAAATGAAGAAAGTCTAGAGGGAATGCGCTCTCAGAATGTAGACCAGGTTGATAAAAAATAAAGAGCGTTAGTTTAAAAGAATATAAGGAATTTTTTGAACACTGGAAAACCCGTGTGGACAAGTGCATACCAACTAATAGACATTATTCTGCAGGGAATTAGTATTGCTACGATTTAGTCTTAAATGGAAAAAAAACTAAAACAGGCAGTTGTAGTTTTCCGTGTATCCCACTGTAAGTTCCCTAAATAAGTCCCTAGGCTGGCAAGTCTCCATCGGCCTTTGACTACCAAGGCAAGATGCTTACATGCACAATGAGCAGAGGCGCTCTGGAACTCCTGCGTCTCGACGGCGCGTAGATGCTGAGGCAGACGCTGAGTAGGCATGCTAACCCGTAAGAAGTGGGGTCTTCGTGAATGAAAAAGTCCGCTGCTCTTATGACAAGGGGACTGTCTGTTGTTAACAGTTTGCTCACACAACTGAGACGTGAGCTGGAACTTCTGGCTGATTGCTGCGAACTGACTATAGAGGTTGATTTATTTGTCTTTTTGCTTTTGATTAATTTATGTAGCCCAGGCCTTGCAATTTATTTTGATTTAAATTGCGTAAACCAATCTGCATGGCAAATAATTCCTTGCAATTCTATGCCCTAATTCGTCGCAGAGAAGTTCATTCAAAATGTCAGCAAATGGTGTATGACACGCCTACTTTACCAGCAATCTGAGCAAGGTGTCACGCAATTTTTGATTAAAATCAGACACTCAAAAAATTCACTGACATCGAAACTACCCACACTTA